ATGATCTGACCTTCCCTGTTGCCCGGGAATCGAGGGAGGTGTCCACCCCAGAATTCGAGCAAGCTAACGGCAATACTAGCGGGTGCCATCAGCCACCGCACATGAATACAACAGCACACCACCCCGTTGAGGGTTTATTTGAACAAGCTGTGCGCCTGAAGGCAAAGTCAAAACTAGCTGTGGGCTTGTGGTTTCTGCTAATCAGAATGAGAGGTGGGGAGAAAAAGTCAAACAAACCGAGACCAAAAGAAAACAAGAGGCTGGAAACCTTCCGTGTGAGGCACCTTTGATGCAGAAGGTGAAAGTAACTAGAGTTATTAGGAATACTTGTTGAGAAGGCGTTTCGTGACGTTAGGAGAGGCGAGGACCCAGCGTGGGTTGTAAAAGGGAGTGATCAAGGAATAAACAGTGTACTTTGGAGCAGTCTTCCAAAACTATCCCAAGAGAACTTTTTCCTGGCACCTTCCTCCCCCGTGGGGAAGTGGCTGGCCAGCGCGGATCTGCCATTCATTACTCAGTAGTGTACTTTGGAGCAGTCCTCCAGAACTATCCCAAGAGAACTTTTTCCTGGCACCTTCCTCCCCCGTGGGGAAGTGGCTGGCCAGCGCGGATCTGCCATTCATTACTCAATACGTGTAGGAAGGTTGCCAGGTGTCTGGTATTGAACCGGACAGCCTGGTATTTGCGCCTTTCGTCCGGTAAAAAAATTCAGAAAATACTGGACACCTAAAATGTCTAGTATTTAATGTTTTCCCCGAGGCCTGGCTCAGACGCCTGAAGAAAAGCCACTTGGGGACATGTTGGGACGGAGGGGGAGGGGAGTGGCTGGGGAATTAAAGGGGCCGTGACTGCATTTCAGCCCTGGTCCCTTCCTCCCCCCCCCCCAAAAAGAATTTTTTTCTGGTGTTTTGGGTTCAGTATTTTTTGTGAAACCATTTGGCAACCCTATGAGTATGTTCCACTTCTCGATATTTTTTAAGCAGGTTTTATGTCCCCCTGGGGTCTCGTATTTATGTTCCTCTTCTCGATATTTTTTAAGCAGGTTTTATGTCCCCCTGGGGTCTCGTATTTTACATGTTTCTATATATTTGTATGGTGTTTAAAGCATGTTTGTAAGCCGCCTCGAATATTTTAAAATAGGGAGCGGGGTAAAAATATTTAAATACATTTAAAAAAAATCAATAAAAGACACTCTCAGGTTCTAGGTGATTGTTTGGGATGCCCTAAACCTAGTGCTTATGTCTGGGTATGTGCCTGCCGACAGGGGCAGTGATTCTATAGGGCAGTGCCCGGAGCTGCGGGCCCTTTAAATCTCCGCTGGAGTGCTGCACGACGGGCTCCGGGTGGCTCTTTCCCATCCTGCCTTTCTTCTGAAACGCTCTGGCACAATAGACGCCGGGGCTGGGCTCCGGACACTGTCATTTCTGCCCACGGCAGATGTGTACCTCCTGCCGCTTGCCCAGGCGATGCTGCCAGCGCCGCTTACATCTCATCAACGGCCGTTTCAGGCCCCCGCACGCTCCTTTGTGTTGATCTTTCGTCCGAGCGAATCGCTCCGCCCCCCGATTTCCTCCTGACGCCGCCTTTAAAGACCAAGCTGATTGGACTCGCCGGAGAGTCCCCATGACCGGCCAGTGATTAGCGAAGGCGAGTCACTGACAGGCGGGTCTGAGGCCAGCCCGGGAAAAACGAGGCAGAGGCTGCACTGGCCGTGAGGGCTCCTGCTCCCCAGAAAAATCACTAAGAGCTGAAATCAGTAAAGATCTGGATTAAGCAGCGGGACCGTAGCACAGGGCATCCCAGAAGGGGCGGGGAGCAGCCAACAGAGGCAGCATGAGGCCAGCAGCGGAAGAGTAAAGCAGCAGCAAGCAGCCAAGTGCAGAGGTGCACAGCGACCAGAGACGCTGCCCGATGCCCCCTCGAGGTTCATCCCTTGCAAACACACCTCTGGGTCTTTGCTACCCAATATAGCCAGCTGGGAGCAGCCGAGGAGGAGGGGAGTGATGTGTAAAAGGGACATTTGTTCACCGGACCTTCCTACTGGAGAGTAGGAAACTGAGGGAACGAACCTGCCCTGAGCCCTTCACGATCAGGTTTTTGCTCATGGCTACTTGATCTGAACGGGGGTTGTGGTGTTTCCCCAAACGGACGCTCGCTTCCCCTTCCCTTTTATGGAAAGTTCCCTTGTCAAACACAGGCGCAGCGCTTGCAAGAGGGGAAGTGCTGCCTTTTGGAGGAGCTGTGGGGGGGTGGTAAAGCTTTTGCAGATGACTGGGTGGGAACACGAGCTGGTTCTGTTTTACATTGTTAAGAGGAACTCCTCGATGTTGAACTTGGCCCTTGCCGCTGCCACCGGACTCCATCTGGCAGAAGGGTTACACACAACAAACAAAAAATCAGATTGTGTCACATTTATTGTAACTTCTAAGATTTTGGGAAAAAATTCTCACATTCCAAAAGAAGAAACAAAGCAAGCCAGGCCGTACGTGCGTCCACACTCTTCTCAGAGGGATACTCTGAGGATTAACTAGCTTCTGTGTGCAAAGCAGTTGAGAAAGCTGAAAAGCAGTAGATTTAAACATGACAAGCGGTCTCCTTAATTATCATCAGCACTCATCAAGCTATTGATATGCTCCCTGCTACTGCCACTCAAAACGAGAACCTGAAGAAAATAGGAAGCCTCAGCCACTGACATGTAAATAAGTCGGGCAGAATCGGAGTTTCTGTACAATATAATTTCATCAGCTGTTCTGTCAAATTTTCAAGCTTTTAAAATGTGTGTGTCAAGGTAAATGTTCAGATAAATGTTCCTAGCTGCAGGAAATGACAGGGGGGAGGATCACACAATTATTTAACATGAGTCGATGCGGAGATTCAACAAGCGAAAGCGTTCTGCTGCTAAAAGCACAAATCGGTAAACATCACATGCAAACTAAACCACGTAAATAGTCCTCAATTCAAGTTCGCAAGCAGCATTTTTCTAACACGACCGATCTGTAAATTACAGATACTGCTGAATGTTTTTTCAATCATTTTTGTGTCTGGTGAAATTGACAGTTACAGACTTTTACTAGTAAAAATCTAATCCTTCCGCCACTACGTGTAAAGAATTTGCAGCACTTTATTTCGGAAGAGATCCTATCGGCAAACCCCAGGGTTATATATTCTTTGCACACGTTCCTCCACCTCCCATCTAATTTTTCTAGGTGATTGACCTTGAGGTTATTGACTCCATCTTAATGATTTACTCAAGTAAATCTTGTCAGGCATAAACAAACATCTATGGAGACTTAGACATGATGATACAGGTTGAACCTCTCTCATCCGGGACTCCCTGGTCCAGCAGGCCATGTTGCTGGACCAGAGAGACCCGGAGGCAAGATCCCTGCAGGGGCCGGGAATCCAGGCAGGCTGGCTGCATGGAGGCCAGCGGCTGGGCACCCTGCCGCAGGAGTCCGGCTGAGTCCGTGGCGGGGCAGCTGGAATGCCATAGTAGGGCTAGCAAGACCAGAAGCTCCAGCAGTGGGGTGTGGCTGCTGCTGCCTTAGTAGGGCTGGCTGGGCTGCCAACCCCAGAGGCTGAGCTGCAGTCTGTTGGGGGGAGGGAGCAGGAGTCCAGGATGCGGGACTGCAGGCTGGCAGGGCCGGGAGCACCGACAACGGGACAGCGGTTCGCTGCGGTGACGCTGAAAGCTCCAGCGGTGAGACTGTGGGCTGCTGTGGCAGGGCAGCAGGACTGGACGTATGTGAGGAGCCCGCCGGGAGGCCAGGCAAGGAGCGGAGCCAGGCTGGGGAGAGGGGGGCAGAAATGACCACCCCTGGTCTGGCAAAATCCCTCCTTCAAGACCACTCAGGTCCTGAGGGTGCCGGACCACAGAGGTCCCACCTGTATATCTATATTATAGGAAAGGCCAAATCTCCTGGTAGATACCAACGTCACCACAGCGAGTCACATCGCTCAGTATTCCAGCTCCCGAGGACACAGCTACGCAGCAGGGCTAAAGCCGAAATACGCGACACAACTTCAGCAACATCAATGGCATAGCTGAAGTGGAAATAGCTTAAATCGGCTTTCGGCGCTGTCTGCATGGCAGGAAGTCCGAGTTAGACACGCCTCCTCCGACTTCCCTGACTCTTCGTGAAATGAGGGTTACAGGAGTTGGAGTAAGAAGTCCTCCAGCTCGACATTCTGTCGAAATAACGGCTTGTTGTGTCGACGTGGACTCTTATTTCGGAACAAACGAGAGTTATTCCGAAACAACACTGCTGTGTAGACGTGCCCTAAGAGACCACTTGGCATGGAGTACCTAGCTCTACAGCCCAATATAAGCAAGAGGAAAAATCTTTGCTGAAGGGGCTTTGTGGAATTATGATAGGGGATCCTAGGGCCCTCCCCATGGGAACACATGGCATTGCACATGAGTACTGGACCTCAAGGGCTGTGTGCATCACCGACAAAAGGAAGGGTTGGCCATTGGCCATCTGTGTATGCCGACCTCTGGACTACCCCAGAAGAGGACCCAAGCACGTTCCAGATGCAAGGGGTAAGGCATGGAAGGCTGCACAGATCCAGTCCCATGAACACATAAATCATGATGGAGGCAGATCTCTAGCTCAAATACTTCTGGGGCAAGATCAGCACTCCCCTCCATTCAAGGCGACACAGAGGCCACCTGGCAGGCCCATCGTCACAGACGCTCGGGAGAAGAGGCAACACCCAGCCCCTCCCCTGAGCGAGAGCCGGAAAGGTGTTGTGAACGGGATCCCCTCCCGGAATGAACGTGGAGAGTTACAGTCGGGCTCAGGGCAGGTGTTGCGTTCGCCAAGGAAGTACTTGCAAACTTTCAGAAGGGACGTCAGTGCATCTCTGCAGATTTCCAACGGCACCTGTCTCATGCGGCAAGTGATTTTCTCCCCAAAAGATGCCAACTTTAATAGATAAGTAGAACCGATGGGCTGCAAAATACGCCTCTCACCTCCATTTTCCACGTGTTTCTTTACCTGATAATTCAGCAGCGTAGCTGTCGGCATCCCCGTATTCAAACTCCACATTGGGGCAGTCCACGGAGCCCTGCGGGAGAGAGATTCCTTCATCAGCACACAGACAAGGCGCACCCGGAAGCAGTGGAACAGTAACATGCACATGGACCACATAGCCCAGCGAAGACCGGTATGAGCATAACCAGGCACGTCACGTTTGCTGCATGACAGTAACATGCACATGGACTGCACAGCCCAGCAAAGACCAGTATGAGCATAACCAGGCACGTCACGTTTGCTGCATCTTTTATTCAGAGCCTCAGAGTCGTCTGCTTCAAACCAAGAGAGCTGGGGGAGGCGGGCTGTTTCCACCAGGATCACACAGGAGCCGTTGGGTTGTCAGGAAGAATCAAGGCAGCCCCGGCTCAGGGGCTGGGAAAATGTTGGGAGGATGCCAGGGGTTTCGCGGTATGGATTTCCCAGCAAGGTTTCCATTAAGGCTTATCAGGAGCGTGTCAAATTAAACCACACCAGGGCCTTCCAATCAGGAGACAGTTACCCAAGCGTACACGAGCCTCATTACTGCCACTGTTCTCCAGAGCTGGGTGGAAGGACTTTTGCCTCCTGCTTAAAATACAGGGTCAATTGGGAAGAGCTATTTTTAGCATCTTCCCAAAGCCATATTTGGGCACCGCTGCAATGTGATAACAGGAGGCAGGCGACAAAGTGTCCAGTGGTATCACAGCTGCCCCAACCTATCTCGGAGGCTGGCTCCTACGGAAGGAACCCTGCCTTTTATTAAGCAACATCCTTTCCCATCTGACCATGTTCAGACCCATGCAAATGTATTTTGTTCCTAAGGAGGAAAAATGAGATTGTTCGCTCCAAACCACATTTCATTTTATACCTTTATCAGCTGGTGTGAGACGATCGAAACAACAACCACAGTTGTTGGTACGATACAGTGAAATGACGACTCCCTCCCACCACACACACTTAAGCCATCAAAGAAGAAAGAGACCCTCCTACCCACATGGGAATCCAAATCCAAATGGAAAATCTCTTATTGGGGTGTTTTCCTGAACTGGGGCCTTAGATCACCAACTTGATACCCGAGTAATTTCAGCACTAGGCTACTCCTGGAGCAAAGTACTATAAAAGGGGAATAACAGTGACAAAATCAGGCACTGAAATGTTGTGGTGGTTGTTTAGATCGTCTCTCACCAGCTGATAAAGGTATAAAATGAAATGTGATTTGGAGCGAACAATCTCAGTTTTCCTCCTGCAAATTCCTCCCCCTTTTACGAAACGTGACATTCTCTGTCTTTGTTTCCACTATGTTGCAACAGAATTGTACAAGCATCTTTCACGTTTCCTCGGAGCCAACAAACCGTATCACTAGTGTCACCCATCTGCTCGCTTTTCCAGCCACGTAACATTGTCCCGTGGCTATATTTAGTCCTATATGGAATACATTTTCTTTGGCTATGCGTGTGCTTTTACTCTATGGAAAACGTGAGCTCTGAAATTGGTTATTGGGGCATGAACCTTTTGTAAATGATTATCCTAAAGAAAAAAATAACTGGAGTGAACACATGCAATGTCTTCAATGAGAGACACGCAACACACTGGAGAACTCCAAGTATCGACAAAATGAAGTGAGTTTAGAACCTTGATTTATCCGGTACAGCTTTAAAAATATCCACCAGAGCTAAAATTCTGTCTTCGTGAGAGCAGGTGGCCAAAAGTAAGAGTTTGCATCACCAATATTCATAATCAGGAACAGCAGAGATGGTCAGAACGGAACTAATCCAAAAGCCGCCGACACCAGCGACAAGACTCATGGACATCAAGGGGCTTTGGATCAAGCCCAAAATGAGCATCCACCACAAAATGGCACAAACATTTTCAAGATTTTTGGTTTTCCTCCAAATTTTTAAACCACTGTCAATGGTCAGGCATAATAGGGAGTTTCAGTAGAGCCTCAGAATTACGAACACCAGCGTTATGAACTGATCACACTTGCACACCTCAGATGGAACCAGAAGTCTGCAATCAAGCAGCAAAAGAAACAAAACAAAACAAAAGAAGGAAATAGAAGTAGAGTACGGTGCTAAGTGTAAACTACACACACATAAAGGGAAAGCAGCATTTGTCTTCTGCCTAGTAAAATTTCAAAGCCATATTAAGTCACTGCACAGCTGTAAATATCTGAAACAGCAGCCATGTTCTGTTGAGACTGACGAACATTTCATAGTTAACGAACAACCTCCCTTCCAGAGGCATTCGTAAATCTGAGGTTCTGCTGTACCCAGGACACACAGTAAAACCCTCCTTCCCAACAAGGCCCATGGAACAATTTGTGGTTCCTAGAACTCAGCCATTTGAGAGCTTTCATGAGCCAAACCGGAAAGTCTGGCTGTGATCGACAAGCACCACGGGATTAAAACTGCCCCGTCATTACCAAAAGTCATAGAAGAACATATCCCAGGCTAGAACTGGCAGGTGATGGTACAGAGTGGTGAGTCTGTTTCTGAAGAACCTTAAACATCCACCCCCGTTAAGTTGCACTGAGAAGATTGGTTACACCTATACATTTTGAGCGCTAGGTACATGTCACAACTGCTGGATTCCAGATTCACGAGAAACAAGCAAATATGAGAAACTTAAAATGTGATAAACTTCACAGCCTTATTCATGAGCTGTCACAGTGGTCATGGATTCTGGGATGTCCCAGGATCTCTGAGACCTGAGTGGCTGTTGGGACGGTGTCCCTAGCCTCTGTTTGTCAGAGGCTGGATATGGATGACAAAGGTGGGACCACTTGAAGATTCCCTGTTCGGTTCACTCCCTCTGGGGCATCTGGCATTGGCCACTGTCAGCAGACAGGATCCTGGCTGGATGGACCTTTGGATTGACCCAGTGTGGCCGTTTTTATGGCTAGGGCATGGGGGCCACCAGAGCAGCTTGGGCAGCCCCTGGGGTCGCCATGGCAGCTGTTGCTGGGGCAGTCTCAGGCCACTGCAGCAGGAGTTTGGGGGTGGGAACGGGCGCAGGGCTAAGAATTGGGGCACGGAAGGGGGTGAGGGCTCCAAGCGGTGCTGATCTCAGGGTTCTCCGCAGAGGCAAGGACACGTCCCTCCCTAAGCTCTGAGGGGGAGGTGTGGCCAGCCAGCTCTGCGTGTTGCCTCCGCAGCTCCCATTGGCCACAGTTCTCAGCCAATGGGAGCTGCAGAGAGGGCAGAGCACGGAGCCCCCTGGCTGTGCCTCCGTCTAGGAGCTGAGGGAGGGACGTGTCGCCGCACCAGGTCCCCCACCACCAGGTCCTCCCCCACCAGCAGCCGCAGCGCCCTCCAGGGCGCATCCCCTCCCTCAAGCACGTGGGGTGCCCCTCCCTCCCAAGCACCCAAGATTTCATCGGGTACATAGCACGAGTCACAGACAGGTCACAGGCTGTGAATTTTGGTTTACTGCCTGTGACCGGTCCATGACTTTTACTACCACCACCCGGGACTAAAACGCGGCCTTATTTCTGAACTGCTCAGGGCACTACGCACCTCCGGAGCCTGGCTTCCCAATGCAAAAGTGCCTTTCTCGCCACGAGGTCACGAGATCCCAGTTCTTACAGGCTCGCCATTCTGATGTGCAGCCAGCATGATTCTAGCAGACATTATGTGAAGAACTGCTGGAGGGACAAACCAACGCTTTTCTGCATCTCCGCTAGGGATGTAAGCGACCAGTCGACACCGGATAAGCACATGCTTATCGGGTAGCTGAGTAGTGACTCAACCAGTCGCCCCCCCCGCCACTGCCTCTAACAGAGAGAGGCAGCAAAGGGGGAGGAGGAAGCAGGAGCCGGTGCTGGGGGGAGCCAGGTTAAAAGCTGGTTTCCCCGCAGCACTGTCTCTGGGTGGGAGGAGGGTGTAGAGGCATAGTGGGGGGACTGGGTGCGAGCCGGGAATCAGCTAATTCCTGGCTCGTGCTCGGTCCCTGTTGCTGCGCCTCTGCCTTTTAAATATATTGAAGCTACGTCTACACTACGAGTTTTCTTGGCAAAAAATATGCTAATGAGGGACTCATTTGCATGAGTCGCGATCTCATTTGCATATTTTCTGGCGATCCGTTTTTGCGCCAGGGGTTTTTGCACAAAACCAAGCAGTGTGGATGTTTTCTTTTTGCGCAAAAAACCCTTTTCCCGCAAGATCCTTATGCCCCAGAAAAGGAGGTTTACTGAACTTGCGGGAAAAGGGTTTTTTGCGCAAAAAGAAAACATCCACACTGCTTGGTTTTGTGCAAAAACCCCTGGCGCAAAAACGGATCGCCAGAAAATATGCAAATGAGATCGCGACTCATGCAAATGAGTCCCTCATTCCCATATTTTTTGTCAAGAAAACTCGTAGTGTAGACATAGCCTCAATATATTTAAAAGGAAATTCCATCGACTACTCGATTAGCAGATTAAACGCCATTTAACCTCCCCGCTCTTCACCCTGGAGCCCGGCTTTCAAATGCCCTACGCCGTTCCCTGAGTCCAACGGCTCATAAAGATCAGGCCAAATTCTGTCCTACCTTAGGGGGGAGACATTCCACAGAAGCCCATGGCTGTGCCTGTGATACATTGCTCAAAGGCTGAGTCTGCCCAGGCCTGTTTCAGTCGCATAGGAGGCCAAGTGCAGCGGGAGAGGAGAAGACCGAATGGCAGCGTTTTAAGACCCAGTATCCATTACCGGGCTGTATTAGAAAGCAGACACTGGCCCGTGTAAACACTCGCAGGACCACTCAATATTATCAAGCCCTTGTTCTGGGCTTAAAAGGGAACAAGTCTAGCAAGGAGCATTCCCCACGTAGCTGGGACAAACAGCTGGTTTTACCCTCCGCACCTGCAGTGGTCACGGGACCTGGTCTCTAAAGTCACAAAGCAGGTCAGTAACGGAGCCAAAAACAGAACGGAGATGTCTCTCCCCGCCCCCAGCTCTGCCTGACCCTCCCTTCCAGCTCTGACTTTTGATCTCACGCCGTCAGGGAGCCTCGAAAGCACACAATCAACGCGGGGCCCAAATCCAGCGCGCTGACCAACTACGGTCGGCGCAC